ACTGTAAAAATATGATGAGTCTGTACTTGTAATTTATCACTCCATTCATATTTTTTGGATTTGCATATACAGGGTGACTCAAAAAAATTAATGAATGCGTAAATATATTTTATTGATTTAATCAGGAACTACAAAACCGAATGCTCTGAAATCTTGGAGATGTTTTAAGGTCATAAAGAGCATAATAAATGTTTAGTCAAAATATATTTGCTTATCCCCTCCAAAAACTTGATGACGTCAGCTCGAAAGTTTGCCGAATAAATCATATCTAAAATGTACAAAATATGATGAGTCTGTACTTGTCATTTATCATTCCATTCATATTTTTTGGATTTGCATATACAGAGTGACTCAAAAAAATTAATGAATGCGTAAATATTTTTATTGATTTAATCAGGAACTACAAAACGGAATGCTCTGACATCTTGCAGATGTTTTAAGGTTATAAAGAGCATAATAAATGTTTAGTCAAAATATATTTGCTTATCCCCTCCAAAAACTTGATGACGTCAGCTCGAAAATTTGCCGAATAAATCATATCTAAAATGTACAAAATATGATCAGTCTGTACTTGTGATCTATCACTCGATTCATATTTTTTGGATTTGCATATACAGGGTGATTCAAGAAAATAAATGAAAGCGTAAATTTATTTTACTGATTTACTCAGGAACTACAAAACCGAATGCTTCGAAATCTTGAAGATATTTTAAAATTATCATAAGCATGGTAAATTTTTGATCAAAATGTATTTCGTCGTCCCCCCTAAAAAATTTATGACGTCACCACAAAATTTTGCTGAATAAATCCTATCTAAAATGTACAAAATATGGTGAGTCTCTTCTTGTGATTTATCATTCCATTCAAATTTTTTCGATCGTCAAGTTTCCGACAGCGAGGGAAGTACTGTCTAAACTCTTTAGACCAATTTTTCTTATCCCCTCCAAAAAATTGATGACGTCAGCTCGAAAGTTTGCCGAATAAATGCTATCTAAACTGTACAAAATATGATGAGTCTGTACTTGTGACTTATCACTCCATTCATATTTTTTGGATTTGCATGTACAGGGTGATTCAAAAAAATTAATGAATGCGTAAATTGATTTAATCAGGAACTACAAAACCGAATGCTTTGAAATCTTGCAGATGTTTTAAGGTTATAAAGAGTATAATAAATTTTTAGTCAAAATATATTTGGTTATCTTCTACAAAAAACTGATGACGTCAGCTCAAAAGTTTGCCGAATAAATCGTATCTAAAATGTACAAAATATGATGAGTCTGTACTTGTGATTTATCATTCCATTCATATTTTTGGATTTGCATATGCAGGGTGACTCAAAAAAATTAATGAAGGCGTGAATTTATTTTATCGATTTAATCAGGAATTACAAAACCGAATGCTTTGAAATCTTGGGAATATTTTAAAGTTATTATAAGCATGGTAAACTTTTGTTCAAAATGTATTTGTTCATCCCTCCTAAAAAAATTGACGACGTCACCCTTAAATTTTGCTGAATAAATCCTATCTAAAATGCAAAAAATATGATGAGTTTGCACTTGTGATATATCATTCCATTCATATTTTTTAGATTTTCTTAAGAGGTGGTTCAAAAAAATTAATGAAGTCAATTTATTTTATTTATTAAATTAAAGGCAACACTTATTATTAGTATTACACCCCAACCAACCCAATTTGGTAGACACAAAATTTGTTAAAGGAAAAACTCGGTTGAAACATAAGGGTAGCACGCTTATTTACATCGACTTTAACATTACAGACCTGCATTTGTTTTATGCGCTCACTTGGTTCCGCGAATGTGGAATAGACATGTTTATAATCAACCAATTGTGAATTTCACCGTCAAGAATTAAAATAAAACCCAATGTTTTATATAATAAGCGGAAGTCGAAGCAATAAAACCGATGGTCGTTTTGTTTACAGTTTCTCTGTTTGACTCTCACGTATGCTGTTACGCTTGTCATCTTAAATTAAGAATGTTTATACATAAACGATTTTCAGTTGCCTTTCATATTACCAGACAGCGGATTTTTGTCGGGCTACGTCACGTTTAATCGGTGCTAATTCCATAAATATAATTAACGATTTATTAATCAAACGGCTAAGTAAATGAGAACGGGAATTAACAGCAGAGTGCAACGAAACAGCTTTATTCTAATCTCAAATAAACGAAGTGCAGTCCGCAATCGCAATAAATTCGCATCCCGTACGAGCCGTACCGAGTTTGGCCTTGCCTAGCCCGACAGAAATCCGCTCTCTAGATATTACACACCGGCGCCGTATACCTGAGTAAATTGTTTCGTTATTTTATTGATTATAAGAAATCAATATTCAAAACGACCCAATTCATTTTCCCGAAAATTTGGGAATACAATAATTTTATTCTTAGTATTACACTACATCTATCCCAACTGATATACGTGTCTTTGTAAAAATGTTGATGACGTCATCACAATTTTTTTTTAAATTCCCACTACAAAAATGTAATGAGAAAAAAAAGCACAATAGGCATGCAGTCGTCAAGTTTCCGACAGCGAGGGAAGTACTGTCTAAACTCTTTAGACCAATTTTTCTTATCCCCTCCAAAAAATTGATGACGTCAGCTCGAAAGTTTGCCGAATAAATGCTATCTAAACTGTACAAAATATGATGAGTCTGTACTTGTGACTTATCACTCCATTCATATTTTTTGGATTTGCATGTACAGGGTGATTCAAAAAAATTAATGAATGCGTAAATTGATTTAATCAGGAACTACAGAACCAAATGTTTTGAAATCTTGCAAATGTTTTAAGGTTATAAAGAGCATAATACATTTTTAGTCAAAATATATTTGGTTATCTTCTCCAAAAAACTGATGACATCAGCTCAAAAGTTTGCCGAATAAATCCTATCTAGAATATACAAAATATGATGAGTCTGTACTTGTAATTTATCATTCCATTCATATTTTTTGAATTTGCACATACCGGGTGACTCAAAAAAAATAATGAATGCGTAAATTTATTTTATTGGTTTACTCAGGAACTACAAAACCAAAAGCTTTGAAATCTCCTGCGAAAAAAAAACATAATAGACATGCAGTCGTCACGTTTCCGACAGCGAGGGAAGTACTGTCTAAACTCTTTAGACCAATTTTTTGGATTTGCATATACAGGGTGACTCAAAAAAATTAATGAAAGCGTGAATTTATTTTATTGATTTAATCAGGAACTACAAAACCGAATGCTTTGAAATCTTAGAAATGTTTTAAAGTTATCATAAGCATGGTAAATTTTTAATCAACATGTATTTGCTCATCCCCCCTAAAAAATTGATGACGCTACCCCAAAAAAAATCCAAGTTGATATACGTGCCCTTGCAAAAATGTTGGATGACGTCATTACAAAATCGTGTAAAGTAAAAACTCGACAATGCTGGATATGTTTCATTGTATAGTGAACCAAGAGTTATAAGGTTATATGGCCATCATAAAATCATCCCATTGTGTCGAAGTTAAGTTGTTTACAATAGAAAAGGTTTTAGGGTCGTAAATAACGTGTCCACTGCAGCTCGACCGGCTCTTGTGGTTTCGTTCAGGGGCGGCTTTCACTAAATATGAAAATCCACCACTCCACTATTTCTTTACTGCCTGCAGCCGCTGAGGGTTCCGAAATAATCACTCGCTTTGAAAGCCGGCCCTGTTAAATATGAGCAAGAAATGTTTAGAAGATGATTTATTGCCAACCGGTAAGCTTAGTGCGAACCACACAAATGGGGTATTTATTTGCGGTCAATTACTTTTATGATGGCCATATAACCTTATAGGTCTTGGTTCACTATACGTCAGGAGCGAGAGAAGTTCTGTCGAAACAACTTTCGACCAATTTTTATTTGTTATTTTAACAATATGGATTACTACTCCCAACGAACTCGTAAAAATGACGCAAAATGATATTATAGCCGAACTATAATTTTTATCATCAGACTGATGGAACAGCCTGTATATTTTTAAAATTAAAATATGTCTTGTGGTTTCATTATATTCAACAGCGCGCAGCGACCCTGCCTACAAATGAATCTTTTGAAGTTTCTTCTAACCCTCCAATATAACTTGAAAATTAAACGTTTTCTTAGAATCCAAAATAAACATTACATGCAGCTTTTTGCTAGCAAATACCTACTAGTTTTCATATTATTGAAAATATCGGCGTTTAAAACGCATGCAAGTTAAATAACAACTAAAGCGATTACTTATACTACCTAAATGTTCTTCGTCCTAAACTATCTCAACTAATTCGTGTACAGATTGTTTAACGAAAAATATCTTATGAAATCATCAGTCACCGGTTATATGTTTTTAATAAAAATTTGGTGATTTCTAAACTAAAATTTGATTAGTTACTCTTCGAAAATCTATTTTCGCAAAGTAAAAGTTTCAAAAGTTTGTTATAACGTTTTACTGTTGCACAACTCATGTTTATGTAATGACATTATCACCATGTTCTTGTAAATGTAGTACTCTAGTTATCTACTTTTTTTACAATTACCTTCCCACCCACTAGTTTACTAGAGAAATGTATGAGTCAAGGTTAATACAATTTGCACGGTAATAATTATTATCACGAAGTGATTGTTAGATAATTCTAGTATGAATCTTTTCAACTGGGCAGTCCATTGTCGACCTATGTCTCTCAGAACACAGAATAAATAATCTCAAACACTCGCAATGAATCTACAAAGCAAAAGCAGTCAGTCACTTTATAGAGTTGGAGCATTGGATAGACTTTATTGCATTGACAAAGGTCATACACATTATAAATAACTGGATATGCGTCCAAATCTTTTTTTACACGATACAACACTTCTTAAGTATAAAATTTACTAAAGATAAGCTTAATATCTTGTCGTAATACTGTGTTGAATCATACCTAACCTAAAAAATCTTACTGCAACTAAAATTATCTACAAAACTATTTGGGATTTGCATCAAAACTTACCTTCCCAAAATGCATAGTCGGATTTGATAAAAATCCAACCTTAAAACATTTTACGACACTTCACACAAAAAGTCCATAACAATCGCATTTGCAAAATATTCTGCAGGCTCTTAAAGATAGATTCCAACACGAACAACGCATTAGAACACATGTAATATTAGAATGTCTTTAATACAGGAAAATGGTTTGTTGCTAAGAATCAAATTCTGTGCGCTTTAAATGAGCGATAAATTGATAGATACCGCCACGAACAGTACACAAAGTACAACAGGAAAAAATAATGTACCATCTGTATCTGTTGACAAGTACATTGTTTTATCGTCAATAATGTAACCTATGTAACCTTCTTATTTATACACTTCTCAGTTCCATCTTCCGTGGATAGATGTCACCCACGTTAAAGTAATTCATAGCCAACTCCTTAGAATAGAGAATCTCTGTATTCTAAAGAGATATGTCTGCAACTCTGTTCCAATCGGCATTTATTAATTGGTTAACCAAACCATGAACGAATTAATACATATTTCTTCCTACATGATCCAAACAAGTGGAAATTGCCGTATAGCGTATAGTGGTGCCATCTGCCAATGGTAATGTTAAAACAGATTGACTTAACTTAACAATATCTTTTCTAGCGTGTTAAATTTTGACAGTTTACAATTTACATAACGTCAAATTTAGATCAGCATTGTGTATTACAGTAAACTTACTAGGCAAATTAAATTTAGGCAGTACCGACATTATCTAACTGTATTGTAAATAATAATAAATAAATAAAAAAAAATAACAAAATGAATCACTACATACAGGCTAAAGCACTATATTATAAAATATTTTAATACAGGCTGATTCAGCCTAAATGATTAACTTGTCTTTTTCTAGTAGGTAACTCAACATACAGAGTCATCAAAATTGATTGAGAGAGTTGGTAAACCTGAACTTGAATAATTTGGTTTATTAAGTTGTATAAAAATATTAGCTGTCAGATTTGAAGTTTCAAGTTTCAAATTTCAAAACTCAGTGGCGTCTTTTTTCGATTTTTTTTTTTTGTAAAAATATTAGTTGTCAGATTTGAAGTTTCGAATTTTTGTCACGCCACTGAATTCATTGCCATATAACCTTAAACAAATCTGTCATAAGGTTGACAAACTTCACGACAAAAACAGGGGGTACCAACTCTCTCAATCAATTTTGATGACTCTGTACATTATCCGCGTACTTCTTGATTCAAAATTTAATTCCAATAATATTATCAATCTAAGTATGCATTGCTGTGTCACTGTCAATTTAATTACATAGCAGCATTTTTTTCAAGTTTCAAAAACGCCCATTTACACCCACCGACATGAAAAACGGGCCAGCTAATATTTTTCTGAGTACAGTGTGTCGACATTTTTACTACGCTTATTTTTGATGTTGTTTCTTGACCAGCATATTAATTGAGTGTACTTGAACCCCACACTTTAGATGAGCTTCAGAATATGCTTATAAAGGAATGAGAGAACATCCAACAAGAAGAAATAAACAATTTATTTCATGGGTTGCCCTGGAAAATGGCAGCAGCCGTACAGGTTCGTGGGGGAAACACCCGTTACTGACGTCCTTTAGCAGTGGGTTAATCATCATTGACTTTGCTTTTTTGGAAACTTTAATTTTTTTTCTGCTTTGTTTGATTTATTGAATTTGTATCTTTTTCCATTACAATAATATATTTTTTTGTTCTTTTTAGATAAAAATATTACAATAAGCGTTGCATAACAACATCAAAGTATTGCAACCGAAATCGTACTTTATTTTGCACATTTTCGGATCTTTAAAAAAAATAAGGGTGGCCTATTTTTCGTGCCGGTGAGTTATTATTCCCTCAGTTATTTATGTATTAAGGGCATAATTAGGGAGATTATGGCACGAGGGAGACACGACGAAGGACAGCTTTTAATTTCCTGAAAATCATTTATAAGTACTAAATTCTCTATAATAAAATAAGTTCTGACTCGGCTTATGATTTTGTAATAATATCTGAAACCTGGCTATGTGATTCTATCACTAATAATGAACTGTTTCCACAATCTTACAGTATCATGCGTTGTGATAGACGCTCTGAATCAGTTGGTCGCTCCACTGGTGGGGGTGTACTGATCGCTTATTTAAACAAATATTTCTTTGAATGTGTAAATACTTCTCATATTAATGATATCGCACCCTTAGTTGATATTGTCATTTGTAAAGGCACTATAAAAACAAATACCATCTACCTTGTAAGTGTTTATATTCCTCCAGACGTTTCATCTGCAGATATGTGTTCCTTCATTGACGCTTTAGTGCCAATATTACTAGACAAATCATTTATTATGGTCGGTGACTTTAATTTACCTGAGTTAACAACTGACACTGCTTCCAGAGTTACATGTTCAAAAACTCGTTGTTTTATTAACTTTTGTTCTCTTATGGGTCTCAACCAACACAATAATGTTCTAAACAGCAATGGTAAAACGTTAGATCTTATTTTAACCAATATAAAATCTATAATTAATGTTGATCGAGAAGCATTTCCATGGGTCCAAGAAGATCGGCATCATCCAGCGCTATCTATAAATACAACACTAATTGATGTTGAAACTGTGCAATCCTTTCCATCCGCTGACAATATTAAATACAATTTTAAACGAGCAAATTTTATAAATTTGTATGATGACTTCATAAACTTAAATTGGTCATTTTTGGATTCTGCAACAGACGTTAATGAGGCACTTAGTCTATTTTATGACAATATTTATAAAAGTATTGATAAGTTTGTACCAAAAGTAAAATGTTACACTTCCAAATATCCCATTTGGTATACTCCTGACATAAAAGCAAACATCAAAATAAAGGAAAGACACAGAAATAAATGGAAGCGCACCAAAAATGAAAGCTATTTATTAGAATTCAATAGACTGCGAGGACTAATCAAAACGCAGATTGCACAAGCATATCAAGCCTTCACGTTACGATCTGAGAACTCATTACTAAGTCAACCAAAGGACTTTTGGCGGTTTATTCGTCTTAAAAATAAGGACACTAGAATTCCTGGAGTTATGAAACATAATAATGATTCATATGATGATCCTCAACAAATTGTAAATTTATTCGCTTCGGAATTCTCAAAAATCTTTGCAAGCTCGTCTTCCTATAAACCAGTAGATGTTCACTCGTATTTACCTCCGGTTATATTGAGTCGTGTTTCTGAAGAAGATGTTTTCAACTTTTTACGTAGACTCGCAAACAAGGAAACCTGTGGTGATGATATGTTGCCATCTTTTCTTATAAAAGACTGTAGATATGTATTTGCGCGTCCGTTGTCAAAAATTATAAATCTATCTCTACAAACGTCAACATTTCCTGAAATATGGAAGAGAGCTCGTATCGTACCAGTTTTAAAAAGCGGCAATAGGTCGGATGTAAAGAACTACAGGCCAATTGCGATATTATCCATCTTTAGTAAAGTTTATGAACAAATTCTATATGAAGTTATTTATAACAAAATTAGATCTTACATCTCTCCTTTTCAACATGGGTTTATGTCTTCTAGATCTACAGTCACCAATTTGTCATGTATAACTCAAGACATCTGTAAATCTATTGATAGAAATACTCAGATAGACGTCATCTATGTGGACTTCTCAAAAGCGTTCGACAAAATCGATCATGATATACTTCTATCAAAACTAAGTGCATTTGGACTATGCCCGCAGCTTTTAAGATTAATGACATCCCATCTCTCAAACCGTTTAAATTATGTTCACTTTAATGGCTTCACATCTTACGAATTTGTATCAAAATCTGGAGTCCCTCAAGGATCAAACCTAGGGCCCCTTCTTTTCAACATATTTATTAATGACTTGATTATTTCATTTACGTGTAAGACTTTAGCATATGCAGATGATCTTAAGCTCTTTCATTCAATTGTCCATGATGAAGACATGTTATTGCTACAGGAGAACGTTAACATACTGTTTAACTGGTGTATCCAGAACAAACTTCCTCTTAATTATGACAAATGCTGCTTTGTGTCATACACAAGAAAAATCCACCTAATTAACACACATTATGTACTTAACCACTATCAGTTAGAACGTAAAGAGATGATAAAAGACCTTGGTGTAATCTTTGACAAAAAGCTTACATTTACCAGTCACATTGATATGATTTGCAGATCAGCCAACAAATTACTTGGTTTTATTATGAGAACCTCTAAAACATTTCATGACAGTAACGTGATAAAAAGTTTGTATTATGCATTGGTTCTAAGCAAAATAGAGTATGCTTGCGTAGTCTGGTCTCCACTATATCACTGTTACGAACTTCAGTTGGAAAGGATTCAGAAAACTCTTCTTAAATACATATCATTTAAGACTAATGGAGTTTATCCTGGAAGAGGCACGGATTACACACTTTTGTTAGAAAAACATTCCTTTACATCACTGACAAAAAGACGTAATCAACAAGCAGTGAAATTTTTTTTCAAACTTCTTTCCAATTCTATTGATTGTCAAGACCTGTTAGGCGAAGTCTTCTTTTTAGTGCCAAGAATGGGTTCCCGTTTTTCCGTAAGTTTTTTTGTACCTAGGCCAAGGACCAACGTTCTCAGGAACTCCCCTGTTAGCAGAATGTCGCACCTTGCTAATTGTATTTAACTAGAGCATTTCACTACTGTTTTTCATTTTTCATTCTGTATGTAATACTATGTATTATAATATATTATATATTGTTAGTTTTAGTTTTAGTTTAATAGCTTTAATTACGCTATTGTTCATTCCTAATAATTTATGTTGTCCTGTAATTGGAGTACCTCTGTTGGGCAATAAAGTTTATTATTATTATTATTATTACTAAATTTATGACAAATAGCCACAACGCTTGTCGAACTGTGGGTACACGTGAGAAAGTGAAACAAAAAACTAAACTAAACGACATTTTCTATGATTTGCAATAACCAGATCACAACGCCGATGCTCCAGACTTTTTTATTGCTTTGACCGCTTATTAAATAAAACATTGCATTTTATTTTGATTTTCGAAGTTGTAATGCACATTTGGTTAATTATAACTTGTCTATATCTAAAGTCTAATTTCTGTAGGGGAGGCTCAGTATACCCTTGCACCCCCTAGGTACGGCCCTGTCTGGGGTCATGGTATGTCGAGAAAATATTAAAGTACCAAGTCGCCCGACGGACTCCATTACTATACTTCTATAGCTTACGCTCAATAAGTAAAAATGACTTGTCAGCAATAAGTAAAACAACTTGAAGTGCTTATATTTATACTCGTACATTGGAAGAATGTCAAATTAGTTTGATTTGAATGAGTTTGTCGCCTCAAAAGAGAGGATTAAAATTATTAATTAAGTAAGCTAAAATTGCACAAAATGTTGTGAATATTATAATTATTCTATTAAATATAGAAAAATAATAATAAACAAAATCAAGATAGATTCGTAAACCACAGGTACAGAAGTATAATATTTCATACAAAATCGGTAATGTTAATTATACAATACATATAATTAGAAGACGTCATCAAATTATTGCTGGAGATAATTATCCAAATTTTGGTTAACGTTTTACCTTCTGCACGATATTTCTAATACATATATAAAATTTGCCAACAATCGATCCAGCAGTTTCGGAGATTATTTTTCTAATAAAAATCCGGACAAACGGTAGACAGACGACAGACAAACGGAAACGGGAGATCTATTTCTTCGCATTCTAGGGATCATGAAAGGTCGAGAAAGCGTAAAAACAAGAATTGAAATAAGTAGCTATTTTATTGCAATATGTACTTACTCGTACAAACAATTAGCTAATTAAAATACGTAATAAATAATGAAAACTTAAAAATCTAAAATAATAAATAAGATCACTTGTTTACATTTACATTAGGTAATGTCTGTCTTCAAAGTTAACATTTGAGTTTGCTGTATATGTATTTTGATCAGAACCAGGGACATTTATAACAGGATTTGCAGATAAAGTTTTTTCTAATCTTGCTGTCTTTGATGTATAGAAACTCGTAGATATAAAGGCACTTGTTGGCGGAGAAGATTCAGAAGCACCAGATACCTAATAAAAAATTAGTCAAAAGTTGTTTCGACAGAACTTCCCTCGCTCCTGAATATATCCTGAATTTTCGAAAAATTATAAAATTTGATTTTACGAATTTTATATTTTTTATGAGAACCCCTATAAGTCGAAATAAACATATGTAAAAATGTAATACTAAAGTAAATGTAAAGAATGTACGCGTATGTTTCAAATAAGTTTTTATTTTAGAAAATTTTGTGACGACGTCAAACATCATTTTTGCATTATATTATATTCTTTCCCTTCCCCCAAAATTTTGGGGAAAATGGAGTAAGCCGTTGAATTAATTAATAAAATAAATTAATCTATTCATGCAAATGTAAAATTGTTAATGCAGTGATAAATCACAAGTATAGACTCATCATATTTTACACAATTTGGATAGTATTTTTTTTGGCAAAATTTTGACATGACGTCATCAATTTTTTGAGGGGGATAAAGAGATATATTTTAATTAAAAATTTACCATGCCTGCAATGACTTCAAAACGTCTGTAAGATTTCAAGGCATTCAAATAAATTGAGTCATTAATTTTTTTTGCATCACCCTGTATAAGCAAATCGAAAGAATATGAATGCAAATGCAATCATTTCAAAGGTGTGTGATATACTTCACTGAACGATAAAAAAGCAAAATAAGAATGAGAAACAATACCGCAAACACTACTCAGGCGGCAGCTTTTTGTGCAGGTGGCTCCCTGGCTGCAAGTCATAAATTAGTGGAACGCCCGGCAGTGGCCAATTTTGCATTTTGACAATGTCGAGATGATATGTGTCAACAAACGGTCAGTGGAAGACGAAATCATATTTTTGTAATAACCAAATTAAAAACAAATAAATTATATTTTCCGGACATTTAGGCCAGAAGGGATCCCTTAACTTCGGAGGCCAGATGGTCCAGCATCACAAGCATATCCGTATAAGCCATCTCTGCAAAAGTTCGGACATTGTAATAGTAATTTACAGCACATTATCAACGGGAATAGTAATATCTGAGCAATATGCGTAGTGTTTAAAATGTTGATATTTATACATCGGAAGAATGTCACGTAGACTTGATTTGAATGAGTCTATCGCCTCAAAGCAGATGACTCAATTGAACAACATATTTTGAATATTATTTAAGTATTATAATTCTATGAATGGAATGATAAATTACAAATAAAGACTCATCATACTTTGCACATTTAAGATAGGATTTATTCAGTAAAATTTTGAGGTGACGTCATCAATTTTTTAGAGGGGATGAGCAAATACATTTTGTTAAAAAATTTACCATGCTTATGATAATTTTAAAAAATTTTTAGTCACCGTTTCCACACCATTTTCCACAACATCACATGAAGACACACTGACAGAAGAATCTATTAGTATTTTTCGGGCAATTTTTATCTGCTGCTCTAAAGAATCTTCCACGTAGCCTGTTGCCACTTTATCAGAGGACCATCCACCAAACCTTTTAAGCGTAGTCATGTCAGCTCCCTGGTCCACAAACAACGTCTGTTGACCTGTCCCTCATCCATTACTTAAACAGTTGATATTCACGGTCGTATAGCTCTTTGGAAGTATCAGGAAGCAAATTCTGCACCACTCTTAATGGGTTTTTACGGATTTCTTCTGGAATTTCTATTATTTTTTCTTTGATAAAACTTGATGCCAGTTTTTTTAATTCAACAATTGTTTATTTACAGTTCTGTCATAGTAACTGCCGCCAACTACATATTTTGATTTCGAATATATTTACATTTTATGAAGGAAATTAAAGAATATAAGCAGATATAAGAGAAAATTTAATATTATACACGTGACAAAAATGCCAGTATAGGCTCGTAAGTCAGTATAACACTCGCACTATTGTGTTCGTGTCATACATACTCCCTCACCTATACTGGCTTATTTTTGTCACTTGTATAATACATAACTAATAGCAACACTTTATTCACACTGTCATTGACAACACGAATAAAGTAAAAAAAAACTAAAAATTCGTACTACCACTGAAATTTTCGTTGCTATGGATGTGTGGATATTCAACTAAAATTTGTAACGCTTGATAGTCCACCTCCTGTAAAACAATCGTAATGAAAGGCCAGGAGCATCGTTTGAATTTGACCGTGACGAAAGTACAGGCAGCTTAGACAATTTACCTTCTTCAAATGTTCATCATATATTAGTATGATTATAGTACAATTAATATTTATGTATATGGATTACCTAAACAATAAATTTTTTGAAAACTTTTGCGAAATTGGAAAAAATCTTGTATGATACACGTGAATAAACGAATTTTATCCACTCAAAAACATTATCACACTCAGCTTCGCTTCGTGTGCTAAACTGTTTTTTCGTTAGATAAAATTCACTTTTATTCACTTATACCATAAATAGCTATTATTGCAGTTTTTAGAAAAGAAATAGAATGATGGAATTCAGACATAAATGAAGATAATAAAACATAATTTCACTGAAATTGCGTCGACGATTGAAAAAACTTGTGTACATAAATCTGCCATAAAATTTTCAAAATGTGGTCTTGCCGGGTATGGAACGATGTGGGAATGCTCTCTGTTGTCGATAAGGCTTTAATGTATCCACCAGTGACCATTTCTACTTTTTCTTTAATTGTGTACTGCGGCATGTTCACGAATTTCGGTCACTAAAAACCAGTAATCGAAGCTTAGAAACGTCAGGTAAATGTCTGTTTTTACATGGGTAAATGTCTGTTTTTACATGGCTGCCTACAATATTAGCGATAAAAATATCCAAATATTTTCATTTTTTTAAAGAAATATCCTTTAATTTAAAACATGACTTTTAATAAAATCGACAAAAGATAATCCAAATTACATCCAGTAAAAATTTCAGTTTTGAATCTTTACTCAAACATAAGTTAGCATGGAAATCCCACCCATGGCCACTTTTAAAAAATATGCACTGTATATTGATGAAGTGGAATTGTTTGGGACATCAAAAAATCGTTTTAAAAGCCAACTGAAGACTTCTAAGCTGTTGTAATATTATATTATTTTTATTTTTATTTAATTTTCTTAATAATCTCTTTTCATGTATTTTTTTTATTAATTCTTATTTATATTATTATAGAATTTAAATGTAATAATTTCTTAGCACTCATTGGGTAAATACTTTATTTGTATATAGGGTAAAGTAAATAAATTAAATGAATTAAATTAAAAAAAAAAATCTTCCCGCTCATGATGTATGGATATCATCTGCCATCACCACCAGAACCTCATTTGCTTGCTTAAATGATTTTTTGATTGCTGTGTCATGGAACCAATTAGTTCATCTTTCATGACGAAAAAAGCAGTCTCCTTTTTCCGTCCGTCCGCCTGTCTGCCTGTCTGTCTGTCTGTCTGGTGTCTGTATCTATTTTTATTAGATACGTAATCTCCGAAGCTGCTGGACCGATTGTTGTCAAATTTTGTAAGTAAATATATTACAAATATCATGTAGATAGTTAAATGCTAACCAAAATTTGGCTAATCATCCCCACCAACAATTTGATGACGTCATTTCAATGAATAGTATTTTAAAATGATTTGAATGTCACACAAAAATATACTCATATACATGTAGTATACAAATCCACACAAATTTTATAATTTTCGAAAAAACTGGATATGTTTAATTGTCCTTCGGGAGCGCGGTTCTGTCTAAACAACTTTCGGCCAATTTTTTTCCTGTATAAGCGTTCCTAATAAATATGAATGTAATGATATACTACAAGTATATTACAAATTTGGATCTTTTTAGAAAGGATTTATACTGCAAAATTTTGAAATAACATCATCAGTAAACGGATAGGTGGCTACGGCAGATCTATTTTTTCATACTCTAGAAGTTATAAAATGTCGAAACAATATGAAAGTAGTCATCACCGGATGGTCCCCATTACAATACTTCCTTATTAGCTTAAGCTCGGGAAATAAACATAGATAAAGATATTGGTTAAAATGGCTGTACAATAGGTAGACATTTAGTTAAGTATTAGATGGGAAATAAAGGTAAATAACAATTGCATTGTTTAGCATTAACATTTTATTTCAAATATTTCAATACTTCAAGTACAATGAAAAGTCGTTCTCAAAACATTGTAGGTTAACAAAAATTCGTCCAAAATGTTCTATTTGTAATTATTACACTTGCATCCAGTTTCTACGGGAATTAACTTTTCAGGTTTCCAACAATTTTTATTGTAACTCTTAAGCTGTTTTCTAAATACTGGAACTTCTTTGATTGTGGTAACACAGTCATGTTTACCAGCTGCGCATTTAACGGGCTGAAAAAGGAAATACAAAATAAGAAACAGTTTGATGTATAATTCTATAATTGTATAATCCTTGTTTATTTTAGAAAATAATTTAATAACTAAAACTTAAACAATTCATTACAGAAATAAACTTTCTCTTTTCTGCAATTATTATTATTTAGGAAAATATTCATTATCAAAACGTACGGTTTTATAAAAACTTCAGTAACGGCAAAAAACGTGAACAGTATGTAGGCGTTGGAAGCCAAATTTTAAAGCCCTCATAAAATTATCATAAAAGGATGACTTCTGTCAGATATTGTTTATTAAGTACTTCTCTATGTATCTATTTAAGAATGACAATAACAATAATTATAATATTGTCTTTGTTTATACAGGTAGTATATAACATTTATGTCGTTTATTAAAATTTAGTTTTTTAATTCGTAGTTCAAGAATGATGGATATACAAAAAAGCTGGAGCCCAAAATAAAGAAATATATTTTTAATGGACAATGGACTTACTTCTGTTCTGTACTAGTTTAGTAGGTATATGCATATATATATATATATATGATAGGCTTGAATTATAAACCGACATTTTCGTATGTTGGCTGGGTTTGACAGTGGTATTGTGTGTTATTCCATTCACTCCACCGTACATTCCACACGTTCTGATCTCCCTATCATCATTTTTAATAGTTAGTTAACTCTCTAGTTTCTACCACCCATATAGCATATATACACACTGAATTTTGAGTAAAAGCAATTAGCACTTTAAGTTCCTTGTAATTTGACTTTATGCTTACTAATTACACTTACCAATTTTTTATGGTGTCCGTGATGTTGTGCTGCATCATTATTCCGTACACACGATATGTTAAAATATCTAGCAGGATAAATATGTTCATCTGACGAAGTACTTTCGATTGTGTAAAAGGGACCATCCAGTTTTTCGAGACAGCTCACTGCCTTATGGCTCTGTGGACATAAAATACTTATTTTTTTGTAACACATACACACATGTTTAAATGGTACATTTTTTATGTGCCGTTATAAAACATTTAATTTTTTGTTTCTCGTGTAACATCAAGATAATACAATGTGTTTTCGCTGGATACGACGAAACCGGAACGGTTTGGCGGGAACAGGGTAAACAGATCATATATGCCTGGAAGAATCGCACAATCGCTTGTAAACCATTTTTGATTTCTCCATACTTACAAATCTATTTTAAGGGTGGCGATAAGCTTTAAGACAAATTTTGAAAACAGTAATTGTCAACATAAACTCCTGGCTTCAATGCTTGCAGCGCAACGAATGCACACCCGTGGATTACTTCGCGTTGTCCGACCTCTGGTTATTACTTATTAAAATTAAATGCCTTCACCGCAGCAACAAAAACGCAATGTGTGATCGTCACCGCGCGGAATAATATCTCATACGCTAGATCTAGTGCTATCGCGTCGATAGTTTGATTACAAATATATTTTTCCTTTGGACTATATCAACATAATATAACATTTCAAGATCACAAATCTGTGGTCCTGTGGTTGAAAAATTAAAAAGGGCATCGAGTATTATTATTTGAAGTAATATAGTAATATAGAAGTACTTAGTTTTTTTTTAATAGCTGTAAACACTCCTAGCGACGCACTGGCTACAACCTAGTGGATCAGATCAAAGCGTCCCCGCTACTCGCCGTAAAAGACACCTTACTTCAATTGGGGGATTGCAGCCCTGAGATAGAATTCCGCGTACTGGTGATGATCGTCTACATATAATCAAACATATTTTAGCTATCCCCCCTTGTACCGATCCTGCCAAAAATTGCAACATGATGCGGTGTTATTCCGCCATGTATTTTCGACGCCTATGTGTGAATACTCAGATTAAAAACAATGCGATACCTTCGTCCGGCCATTCTGGACATCCGACAAAAACGCGGTTGTGATGTTAGTCGTTATTAGTGAATTGTGTATCTTATAATAACTTAATACTATATTATTCCAAATTTATAACATCGGAGCAACATGAGGCTTAATTTGCGTTTTGCTTTTTTTTTTGTTTATTATCATTGCATCATTGTTCGATAAGCTGAATTTGGAGATATTATTGCTGAGACATTCGTATAGAAAAATAAACAACATTTTACATCCTCACAATTTCACGTATTTTGTTGTTTTAACCCAAGATTATTATTATTTTGTTGTTTATTCTCTATATATGAATAACAAATGATAAGTACAATACCGTGGGAATGCCTCGAACGTCTTCGGATTTTTCATCGCTTTCATAATCATCACTGTTTAGAAGCTGAAGCACTTTGTATTCTAGTTCAAGCCAAACGTCATCATCATAGTGCATCTCTGGATATAACTCATTTTCTTCACTATAAGATTCTTCGAGTGATCTTTCAAAATTTTCGCTTCCTAGTAGATTTGGTAATTGCCCTCGTACACTGCTTGATAAGACAGCAACAATTCCTAAAAACTGAAAATAAAAAAAATATTTTTAAAATTGCATTCAAAAGTATGTTATTTAAAGCACACTACACCAACTAGACATGAATGTATTGAATACAAGTACAATAATGTACTGTATATTACTGTATTATTTAGACAGAACTTCCTTCGCCCCTGAAGTATACAAGAGCAAATGCAGATTCTTCGAATTTATTTTTTTATGATAATCCTTAGTAAGTAAAACATTTGACTCCGAAAAATTATAAATGTAAATATAATGTATGTACATTAAAATTTACATCATACTATAGAGCAATTATTATTCTTTCGTAGTGGATACATAAATGACAATAAAATTCAACGAGCACTGTGTAAATACTTATTATAAATGTTAGTATTTATCCATACGTACCCCACCATGGCGTACTTTTAGACAAATGAGGGGTAGTTTCGGACTCAGCTGGGGCAGATTTGGTCTTTATAAAACTATACCAAGCTAATGTATTACCAAACCAAAAAAATTTTTTTAAAGAACTGGTATACTAATCAACAAAAATTAAACGAAAATTTACAATGCGTATAAAAAGAAAAATAAACTGTATAAAAAACTATCTCACAAATACATTAATTTTAGAATCAATTGGTAAATAATAATAATTGAATTATGAAAATTAACTTCAAATTTGGTGCAAGCTTCTAGACGAGATGTAGTTCTCATGGTTGTAGGTTTGGGTAGTCTAGAGACAACCTTTTCTCTCATCAGATCAGAAATGTCGTCAACTAATAGAAAAGAAAACCCATAATTTTTTCTTTTGTAATAATGTTTTACTGTTTTTTTAGTTGGAAACTTAACTAAAAAATAGTCTTCCACATCAATGTTTTTATCTTCTAACGACGTTAGAAAATCATGAGCTTCATCCTCTGACAGAATTTAGATTAGAATCAGAAGAGATTGATTTTTTTCTTTTGAGCGTTTGTTCTGCAAATTCAAAACAATCTGAAAAGTTTTCTCTGTATGTTTTTTTTATTTAGTTCTAGTTTTTTCAATTTCTTTAAAAAGTACTTGTCTTTTAACTGGCATCGATTTGTTCTTTCTTGCCTTACTCCAGTTGTTCTATCCTGTTTTTCGAGATGCTTCAGTTGTCCTTTGTCGTGTCTAAGCTCTAGGAAATTTTTACTTTTTATCTTTAATACCATGCCAGAAACGCAAAAAACAATATCTATTTTATTCGTAAGTGATGCGAAAATTTTACTACTTTTTCTTTTTTACAAATATTCTTATAGGAATGATAGAACACATACCTATTACAGATACCTGTAAAAATTTTACTCAGTTTAGCACTGCTACAAAGAGGTCGTTCCATTCCGTCTAAATGTGCCCCATGCCCACATCTGCCCCACTCTCCCTATATTAATTTGTACCGGTGCAGTGTAAAACTAATAATAACAATACATATTGCATTTCCAAATTTTCGGAAAATGGAGTGAACCGTTCCTAGTTTAATTAATAAAATAAATTGACTCATTCATTAATTTTTTAATACCAATACATCCATTGACCCATCATATTTTGCACATATTAGATAGGATTTATTCGGCAAAATTTTCGAGATGAGGTCATCATTTTTTTGGAGGGGATAAACAAACCTATTTTGCTTCAAATTACCATACTCAAGATAACCTTAAAACGTCTGCAAGATCTCAAAGCATTCGGTAATGCATTTTCAAAATTAAATTGCAAAATGTTGTTATACATATAAATCTATAAAATCTTGATGTCTCTGGTAAAAACTCACCACAGATTCGTAAACTACATATGTAGAAGTACACTGCCTTTCAAAAAAATTGCAACAGAGACTAGCAGTGAAAATACGTTCACCAGTTACTCTTCGGCGACCACTGCCCCTACAACGGGCTCTGAGCCTCTCATTTACCACGCCCTGCATATTCGCTGCATATTCGTAAAATGGTCGAAGCATTTTGACCGATTCTTCTTGCAATTTCATGTTACGACAAAACAGCCTCTCGCATACCCACAATTCTGCCTCTGTCAAAGGCGCCAATTGGTTCAAATTTAACATTTCTTCGCACTGGTGGCATTTTATTGCATAAAATGACACAACTGATAAAAATTGTAACTTCTTCGCCAAGAAAAACAAGAAAAATATTCCAAAGCGTGCGTTGTTTACCACCATATTTTCATCATCTTTTCCGGAGAACATGGTGCTTCGATGGGTGCACATAAGTCATTAAAAAAGAAAAGTTTTCTACGTGTTGCAATTTTATATAGGTAAGTATGTAATATAAAACCCATTTACTATGTACAATTTTGATGTGATGTCACTACTTGTTGGTGAGGATGATGAAACAAATTTTGGTTGGCGTTTTACGATCTATATGATCTTCATAACAGTCGGTTCGGTAGTTTCGGAGATTATCTATTTACCAAAATTGGCACAGACGACGGATAGACAGATAGACAGACAGACGGAAACGGGAGACCCATTTTTTCATACGCTAGGGTCGTAACCCATCGAGAAAGTTTAAAAGCAGCCAGACCCCTGATAGACTCGATTACAATACTTCCTTAGCTTACGCTCGGGAAGTAAAAACTGAATAGAAGAATGGTAGTCAGATACAATATGTTAGGCTACACTACCAAAGAGCCATTTTAAGTTAATAATGACGCGTGCCATAAATGAAACTTAGTAAGACAATTTTGCAGATGAGGCCCTTCCTTTGAATAAAATAAATGTAACCGATTAAGAAACAGTTTTACAGCAAAGTGTGAGGTATCTTTAAAGCCTAATCAATATCAGTCAGGATGGATTTTGGGAAGCACATTAAACCATTAATTAAGGTGCATTGAACGTCATCGATAAGAAGTTAATAGCAGCGGTTGCTACGGAAATACAAATTACAGACCATGAAGAGAAGAATGATTTGTATCGTAAGACAAACAGCCACATTAGGTCGACCATTACGACTTTAGTTACCGATGCACTGTACCTACCAGAAGTACGAAGACTTTCCATGACGCGTGGGAGGCGTTAATGCAGTAGTTTGAAGCAACCATGGAGGAAAGAATATATTCATTCGTCTATGGAAGCAACGTCTAAACATCATTTGCTTAAAATTTGTCCAGAATTTTTCACATTTAGTTGAATATTATACTAAGACGTATACACACACATTACCAATGAGTTAAAAAGTTTGTACAATGACAATGAGTTAAACAACGAACCTGCAACTAAAGACGAGAATGCACTGTCAAATTTAATCTATATAGGTACTTACATAATTATACCTATAAAAGGCAATGTCCCGATTGCCTTATCAACGCACAGCCCAAACCGCTAATGATAAAAATTTGGAGAGAATGTTCATTTTATACTGAAGGCATCGTTTAAAAAGGGATTTTTCGAAATTCACTCCCAGGGGGGTGAAAAAGGGTGGTAAATGTGTATAGGACCAATATTTCTACTGTAAATTTACATTTTAAGTGAAACTTGCTGTTAATGCTCTTCACACAAATAACAAATAACGAAACACGTATTTCAGCATTTTTCGAGAGAGAGAAAATTAGCTATAAAGAAATATTTTTGAGAAAAAGAGATATTCGTCAACGACATTTGTATTTTAATAAAAGATGTTTAAATCTGACTTAATGCAGAACGCACACGTTGTTGGAGATGTCGTTCGACTTTCATAATTTATAATTCAAAGCAAAAATTGTTAAACAATAAATAATAATTTGAGTTCTTAAAGACGTGTATTTCAATTCTCTATGTCTTCATCATTTGAAAATTTAATTTAACATAATTCATGGAAGAAAATCAATTCACTGTGCACTACAGCTATTTCGATATGTTTGTACATATTTTATTTTTAAATAAATATTTTAATTACGACAAGAAAGCATTTATTGTTGATACGATATTTAATATACAATGCATCTTTTTTAAAAGTGGCCATAGGGATTCCCATGTTACACTTTAGACCCCATGTTAACTTTCGTTAGGGTGAAAACCCGGAGATGATTTTTGTGGAGAAAATAGAATTAGGGTTCTACTTTAATTTCCACTACAACTTTTTGCAGTAATTTGTTAATTTGTGCTTTAAAACATACAAATTATTTTGTTTAAAAAATGTTGGTATATTATTTTTCAAAATGGGCGCGAAGGTCAAGGACACGCAAAACCCAAAAATTTACTCTTAACTGTGTAGTTTAGTATTTTTTTACACCTCCTTATTTTACTTTATCGACAATGCAATAGTGACTGATCTGTCACTTGAAACGTCAAGAACCGCATTAATTTTGAATCGTTTCTATGAGCGCGTTCTATCGCAATATTTATGATAGATTATGTTCTTACGGAGTGGGGAAGTTAGAACTACAACTTAAAAGCACCCAGCAGAGATCCTAAAGGAACAGATTTATAAGTAAGTTGTCGACCTTGAAATTTGCTTAAATTTTGAAAAATAATATATATATCATATATCATAGAAGGTTTTGACTTATCATTTTAACTTGTCAATTTTGACAGTATAATTTTAATTTAATCATTAAATACCTTTATTGCAGTTTTTAGAAAAGAAACTGAATGATGGAATTCAAACATAAACGAAGAAAATAAAAGATAATTTCACTGAAATTGTGTTTTTAATGTCCACGATCGAACAAACCTGTGTTTATAACTCTGCCATAAAATTTTCAAAATGTGCTCTTGCCGGGTATGGACCTGGGAATGCTGCAGCAAAATTTTGCGCAGTTTCTCTGTTGTCGATAAGGCTTTAATGTATCATCAGTAACCATTTCTACTTTTTCTTTGATTGTGTATTGCGGCATGTTGACGAAGTTCGGTTACTAAAAACCAGGAATCGAACGAGTAATCAAAGTTTAGAAACGTAAGGTAAATTGTCTATCTTGAGATGGCTGCCTACAATATTACCAACACAAATATCCAAATATATATATATTTTAAAGAAATATCCTTTAATTTAAAACATGACCTTTAATAAAATCGAAGAAAGATAACCCAAATTACATCCAGTAAAAATTTCAACTCTGAATATTTACTCAAACATAAGTTAACATGGGGTATAACATTTAACAAGGGAATCCCTATGGCCACTTTTAAAAAAGATGCACTGTATAACAATGTTGTATTTTTTTTAAATTCGCACTTTAGCATTTTATGTTTCTTTGCTCGCTTTAAAACTAACGTAATACGTAAAAAATAACATTGAAATCATCGTCAATCAAACGGTGATTGTCATTTAAAGTTTTGATCTACAAAACTTTCCGCCTCCTGCCACCATAGCAGAACAGTGACGATTCACATCGTATGTCACCTACGTATACACGTACTAATTGACTTTAATGGATAAATTAGACCATTTTCTTCTATGGCCCCTAAGGTCTTGTGCACAAGCATTAAGTTTGATTAAATGGAGAGAATTACAATTTCAAGTTCGTATTGTTATATTTTAAAACTTGTCGAAGTCGCTGCAGGTATGTGTATCAGTGTTCAACCGTACTTTTTATTAAAAAAGTTATAAGCAAAAAATGTTTTCATGTAAAACGAAACAATGCAGCGGTTATAATGTTGTGATTAAAAACGTGAACGTTTCTATCAAAATAGTGGTTTAATTGTTCAGTTTTAAATATTGTGATTTTATAAACAATTTCAATAATCAATGACGATGATCACCTCCGAAGAAGACAAAAACATCACCATTAAAAGTGAAACCAGGTACGTGTGCACATGCAGGTTAAATACAACTAGGTATATGCAACAGTTTTGCAAGTTATTATAAAGATCGTTAAGTTACGACCAAGTTACAATAAAAAACTTAAATTAGGCGTACTACACCCACCCAAATTTTTATACATCTGAATCTGTAAAAGTCAAATACTTACGAGTCTTATTAGTGTAATTAGAATTGCTATCGATCATATTTCTTTTTCTCAAGGTAGCATTCCTAACTTCAAAATTTCTTCTGCATAAAACCGTGTGTTGAAAGTATGATAAAATTGATAATATAATTAACATTCTATAGACTGTAACGTTTTTAAACTTGTATAGGATATACAATAGTTTTATTAGCACCTTAAAATAAAGGTATGTCTACAAAAGTTATAAAGTTTGTTCATAACTTTTGTAGACAATGCAACGTCTCTATAAAATATCGGATACTTTTTTTTTATAAAAAATGCACCTCTTTCATTTTTATAAATTAATCTTCTAATATTGCAAGTCAATCATTTATTAGCTATACCTATTTTTATAAGTAATTTAGCAGTCTATTGTTTATACAGTGCATTTTTTACGGAAGCATTATAGGGATTAACATGGTGTGTACTTAGTCGTGTTAATGGTTTTTCTACTGCGAACTTCCACATCGTTTTTGGTACACGCTTGGTTCACATTACTTTTTACAAGCTCTGCTAATTTCTAGAACGAAAGAAGTAAACATATTCCAATTAAAAATTCAAATAATTCCATCATTTTAATCATTTTACTTTGACACTTTTCATGTGTCCCCTGACATTTACATAAAAATAAACAGTGTCCATTTATACAACTCAAGAAAAGATTCAAGTGGTTACGGTCTATCATCATCATTTTTTAGGACAATTTTTCATGATAATTAATTATTTTTAATTTAATTTTTTTTTACAAAACTTTTACTTCTTGGATTTCAAAAACGTGTAAAAAAATCTGTAAACTAAGCGTGTACCGAAAAGAATTTGGAAATTCACAGTAGAAAAACTATTAACAACACAAATTTACACTCTATGATGCATTCGTAATAAAACGCACTGTATATAAAAATGTGTTAACGGAATAGTTCACATGATTGTATCACTGCACATTTAAAATCATCGAACTAAATAACTATGTAAAAGCTATGTAAACACAAGTTCAAAATAACAACAAACTATTAACAACACAGTGTTCATAAATGACCATTAATTGCGATTTTTTTGTTGAAGTCATCAGGGAAACAATCTTTGCATAAACTGTTAAAATACTCTACGAATGTCTTCGTGGCAAAAATTTTTCTTCATCAATTTTTTGTTTTTATTAATAGGATGATTTTAATTTGCTCCACAATATGTAGGTAAAGATCTACTATGCACGTTTTCAAGTAGAAAACATTTCACATTCTTTTTTATTAGTACCACCGGCTAAGGGAGCTAACTCACTATCTCTTCCAAAAGTTAAATATAATAAAAACTAGAAACAAAATACATATATGGTTTTAGCCTGCAAGTTTCACTTTTTCACTGAAAGCATAACTGTCTATTTTAAAACTTCTAATTAAATCGAATGAAAATCAAAAATCAACATTCTTTTCAGATTTCAATAAAAGTGGTTTTTACCGAAACAAATTTTAGTTCGAATACAACAATGAAAACAAACACTAAAACCACTCAATAATAGTTATAAATCACAAAAAAACAGAGTGAACATCGTGGCCTGATGGATATTACCGCACGCGTTACCAAAAGTAGCTTTAATAACGCACTAAAATTCACACAAATTTCCAAATTGTTTAAATGTTATAATACTTATAATACACCGACCGGCAAACAAAACGACCATCCTGAAAATATGCATAGCGCTGACAACGACCATCCTCGATCAGAGCGACAATTTGAGAGACGTCTGCAAGAGTTATAGTAGCCTGCATAGATATTGTAGCCGTCCATAGAGTCGAAATTTGCGAATAAAAATAAAATAAAACCGGTTCAAACGGAGCCGACGATGGCTTGCAAAGTCTGACATCGCTCTGGCACACGTTGCACAGAGACGTATTTAATATTAAATGTCATTTTTTCCGTTATGATTTAATCTGTTTAATTTCTGAGCTGAATCTCGTCAGTGTTATATAACAGCATTGTTTTCGCGTGAAAACTTTTATCAACTGCCAAACTTATATACAAATGATGAAAAACACTGTTTACTACAACAGACTCCTTTATTGTTTTAATTAAGAAAATATCGTACTTTGTCTGTTCCTGATATTTTGTTAAATTAAATTTAATTCTACGTATATATGTCCCCTTTTTTTTGCTAATTTGTACATATGTGTCAATAGTGAATGGTTCTTTAATAGAATAACGATCACTAGTTAAATTAATATTTTTTAAAGTGGTTTTGCGAAATTTTTCAGGGTGGCCGGTTTTTTTTGCCGGTCAGTATAGATTCAGTGATCAGTTAACAAGTTGTTTAGCTGATTCACCTGAAGCAAAAATCACATTTTACATTTTATCTTATTTATTACAAACTGCATTTGAAATTTCGTAAGGCACTAGTATTGACTTACAGAACACAATAATTAAATTTATTCGTCTACTCCACAAAGACAATGACGTCATCTCATACTATTCTTTAATTAATAAATGTTTCTTAAATAGTATCCCGCTTGATACGGTATGGCTTACATTTTATTAAATGAATGTGCTTTTATTACTTCCTGAGCGTAGGTAAGCTAGTAGCTATTTCATTCCGCAAATGATTTCTTTCATATTTTCTCGACGTTTCATGAGCCCTAGAGAATGAAAAAATATGCTTGCCCTTTCCGTCTATGTGTATGTCTGGCTATATACCGTCTGTGTCCATTTTATTACACAGATATATCTAAACTAAAACGCTAAACTAAAATTTGTCTGATCATCCTCACCAACAATTTGATTACGCCTTCTCAAAATTTTTATTTTACAACTGATATTTCAAAAAAAAAATCGCATAAAGCTTGTAATTTATGTAGGACTGTCTACTATTATACTGAAATGTCTATTTCCATCAACGTCATCTTAAAAGTATACACATTAAATGTTAATTTACTGTACTGTACTTCGGAAACGGAGTAGCTTTGTAATTTTTTTCGGTTTGTGTGCCCAACTATATGAGATATGATTATTCATTAGAAACTGCTCGTTAATTTAACATTAGAATTTAATATCATCACTATTTGGGATTATACGTATAGTTCTCTGAAGACATAAACTAATGATATTGATATGACCTTATAAGTACATTACCATATGAAGTAAAATAACATTGTGCTAAATATAGCATCATTTGATAAACGTATTCACAGTTAAATTTCTACTCGTTATATTTATAATGTAGGTCTATATACTAAGTGGATGCGCGTGCACATTTTTTTTTTTAATATTGTCTATGTCAAGTCGCTAAATACAGTGCCGGCCAAAATAAAGTGGGACACTTCTTAAAATGATTTTTTCAATAAATTTTGTTGTGTAAACTGGACTCAATTGAAGATTGAAGGTATCCGTTAACAATGACATTTTTAAACGTCAAATACAAAGTTGAAAGTTACACTAGGCAAGGAAAAGTGCCCTACTTTATTTTGACCGCCACTGTAGTTAATTTACCTTGGACCGTTAGTTTCAAGAATAAATTGACACCTCCGGACTAAACAAAATTTTCATTTTTCTAATTTGCATCAATAATATTTTCTTTATGAATCGCATATGCCTTTAATCTCCACTAATTACATACATTATGCAGTACATGGTGAACTGATACAACTGATGACATAGTAATTCTGATAATTTGTATACAAATAACAAATAAGTGTAAATTATCATTTACGTAGGTATTCTACTTCTCAACTTGGTATTCGGTCTTCACGTTAACCTTTCTATCTGATATTATATTTCTAATTGTGATTTTTTCTAACAGACGTAGATTTCCATTCACTGCTAAGTTGTATATACTATTAAATTAGAAAAATGTCTGTTCTGAAAATATCAAAATTTTGTTCTCCAAAAATGTTCAAGACCTGACTGATCCCTAAACATACATAGTATAAAATACAGCCAACTGTATATTTATAAAATCCTTATGTGTAAAAATAACGAAATAGCAAGACAGTTTAAAAGGTGCATTTTTCGCTAATGTAGATACATTACTTATTCAAATATTACTAAAATACTCACGATGCTATGTTGTCGTGATAGAAATTAAGTACTATACAATTTTGACTTTTTGCCAACAATCTGGATGCCTAGGTTAAAAACTCAACACGAATTAATAAACCATAGAAGTATATACGAGGGCCCTTCAACAAAGACTAGGACTGATGTTTTTACGGCCCTGCATGAATAGCTACGAAAGGTTAAAAAGCAGAAAATATTATTGAAGTAGGCTTCTTTCACTGTGCAAAATGACACTTTTCACAAATTATTTAATTGAGTTTAACACAGCTCGAAAGTTAAAACATTGTTATGGCGCATTTAAAAATCGCCATTGAAGAAAAGAAAGAGCAAAAATATGCGATTAAATTTTGTGTACGTCTCGGAAAAGCTACAGAAACTTTTTCTTTATGATCCGGAGATGAAACAACACAGCACACAGTGGGTATAGAAAGGAGGGCTACCACCCAAAAAAGCACGCGCGCAAAAATCTGCCGCAAAAGGTATGGTCATAACATTTTTTTATTACAAGGATATGGTATATACCTATATGGTCCCACATGGTACTACGGTAAACGCAAATGATTACAAAGGAGTTTTGCATCAGTTGACGAAAGATCACACTCCTAGAAAACGACCCGAAATTAAGGGAAAGTGGAAACTTCATCACGATAATTCTCGCCCGCAGTGGCTAATGTTATGACTGAATTTTTGATCAGAAAAAATATCAACTGTGTACCGCATCCTCCGTATAGCTCTGATGTAGCCCCATGCGACTTCCATTTGTTCCCCCAAGCAAAAAAAAGCTTAAAAGACGACTTTAGAGGCGATTTTAAACAGGCTCTCAAAGAATGGCTTCCGTCATGTCTTTAAACAATGACAGCACCTTTAGGATAAAGTCATTGCAATACAAGGGGAATATATAGAAAGTGACAGGTGTATTATTGTTCAAGATTAATAAATAAAGTTTTGGTAGTACTAGTCCTAGTTTTTGTTGAAAAGCCCTCGTATATATATATATATTTATTATTTATTAGACAGGGTAAACGTCAAATATTTAAACATAAATATTAGTAAATTTAAATTATTATATTAAAATGTCGGCCCACAAAATTTTGTGTTCTACACGTTTTGACAACGTTTGGAAATGCTCAGAAATGGCAAACCTCGCCCGTCGGGCTGGGTTTTCAACACTTTCCTGGCATTTTCAAAACTTCATTTTCCAGACTAGTGAAACAAATACCTAACTGTTGAACCGGAAATGCATTTTAATACATGTTTATAAATTTGTGATGGAATTTTAATATCCTTCTTCAATTCAAATTTTATACATAAGTAACCATTGTTGAATTTGATTTTCGTGAAACAACAAAACAAACTACAACGTCATGAGCGATTCAGAAAGTAAATTTTACTATTAATTTAAATACTAAGTAGGTAGGTAATTCTTAAAGTCGTTCATTTTGTTGTACATATTATTTATATTTTTTTGTACATGAAGAAAAATTTGTAATTTCAATAAATAAAATTTGTAGTCGTAGAAAAAGTATAGTACACAACTCGAGTGGTAAGTCTATTATATACCTACACACTCCCTCGAACGTTGCCAGATTTACGATTAACAAGTGGTGTTTCAATAGAAATGGCAAAGATTATAAGTTTTATTCTCATTATGACTGACGAGTATGTGTCACAAGTTAACATGACAAGGCGACAATCATAACTAAAATTACAAGTAACGTTATGGTAACTAAGGAGTGTTTGACAAATTATGTCAGTGAAATGACATCAGCGTCCGAAATTCTGTGCTCGCAACTGAACCACCTATTTGAAGGTGGAAGAAGTAAAACTCTATACTCACTATACTGCAAACAAAGGCAAAACATAATATACATCTGTCACAGTTTGTAATTGTCTATCCAGATCTTAATAGGAAAGATACAATTACATGCGAATAAGTAACATAGCAACATTTATATTGTAACGTTCTACAAAAATTTCATCTTTTCATTTTTTTTCAGTTGTCTAACACGAAGGAGAAAACCAGGATCATACAAAATGGATGTTTCCACAGAGAGCATAATTTTTGAAAATCATCGATTTCTCAGTACATTGTCTTTAGGAAAAAGGTAAAGCAGATCACTTTTATGGTTTTATTTATTTATATACCAGGTTTGCATATTCATCATTTCCCAAAAATTGATACTAGTGATAAAAGCTATCTTCAGGTACAATAAAATAATTACTAGCAATTGTTTTACAACGCGCTATTTTAAGAGACCTGTAAAATAGGTACATGTAAAAAGCAATTCAAGAATTTTTTATAGACTTTTTTCGTTAGTCAATGGTAAACGATATTCCCTTTCCGCCCAATGTAAAATGTCCCAGTCTGAAATCATTTATGGAAACTATGAAAATGACAGCCTTTTAGGTATATGATTTTGAAATTGACATTATTAATGTTGCAAATAATAGTCAACAGACAGATGGATTTTAATGCATAATTTTTGTGTTGTTCTCAAAAACCTACATACCTACCTAATTATCAGTTTTTCCTTCATCTGTACTAATTGCTAATTAAAATCAAATAATTATACTTAAATACAGACAACTTTACCGTAAACCACAAATACAAATCTGCCTGAAGCAGATATTACGATCCTGTGATGAAAAATATTCCCCTTTGATAACTTTTACTTAATGTTCAACATTTTTATAATAGGGTCGATCCTACAAATCGTTGCTTTCAAGTTTTCTCAACGTTTTATGACCTCTAAAGTACGAAAAAGTATATATTCTGTTTATGTCTATCTGTAGTCTGCCTGTATTCTATGTCTGTCTGTCTATTTGTTTGATACCTATGTCAATTTTTATTAGACAGATAATCTCCAAAACTACTGAATCGATTGTTGCCAAATTTTATATGTATGTTAGGATTATCGTGTAGATAGTAAAAGGATAACCAAAATGATGATGAAGAATGATGTTATCTACAAAATTTACAAGAGTAAAAATTATTATAAAATAAGATGCTTTTTCCTAATATACATGGCCATCTTTGTTTTTCAATTCAAGTTTTACAATTAAACTTTCTAATTGCACAACCGAATGCTCTACAATCTTGCAAACATGTTACAATTGTCGTAGTCGGGGTGAATCCGTAATCAAAATTCGTCCCCCCCCCCACCCACACACACAAATCCAACTTAAAATTTTGCTAAATAATTCTATCTAAAATATGCAAACTATTCGGACTCTTTACTTGTGGTTTATCGATAGATTCATAGTTTGTAGTATTAGGTACTTACATAGGGTGACAGAAAATAGTTAGAAATTAGTATTTTTTTTTATTCAAATCAAGAACGGCTGACCCTATTTTCCCGAAAATATAAGTATATAGTACTGTATTACTAATAATTATCTATTCAAATCGATATGCGTGTGCTTAACAGAATGCTGATGACCTCATCACAAAATTTTGTTACGAAAAAACTCACTTAAACACACGCATAGCATGCGTATGAACTTTAAAAGTCCACACATATCTTTATTTTAACTTATAGGGTTTATCATTAAAAAATAAAATTAGCAAAAATTTGATTTTTATAAAGTATTAGTTTTTAAATCGTTAAATTTCTTCCATATGTGCATAGAGTTACATTTTTTAAAAAGATAAAAAAAAACAAAATAATTATGTAATATGTAAAATAATAATATAAATAGAGAGGGAAACTACATCAACAAATTATATTGAAATTTAACTAAAGTGATTTAATAAGTTCAAGTAAATTTTTAACAACAGTGTTGAGCGAGCAACAAATTTTTAATTATGTACGTAACGAGTTTTACGTACTGAGAGAGGAATAAAAAACAAAACAAGATCAAAGAAGCCATGGATTTCTCTTTGATCGTTGAGTTTTCAAGCCAAACTTTCAAATTGCCGACTATAAAGACAAATTTTCTCAAAGACAAATTTTCTCAAAAATTCATGACTATGTATTCGTTCTGCTTTTTATTGTTCTTTTGGTACTACTATATGTAGTAGTATCCATTGGCTTGATACTATCACGTATAAAACTAAAATAGTAAAAACACGTGTACTGAACGTAATTTCAATTGTAGGTACTCACCACTGTTGTCCACATTGTTGGTGGTTTTAACGACATGGAATAACTGTTTTTCTATGAACAATCGCAAGTTTTATATGCACGTGAAAAGTATTAATATTACGTATTTAATCAATACAACAGTCGTTCATATTGAGTTTTTCCAAACACTCACAATGCTTCGCAAGCTTAGAGTTTATCTGCATAACATTAAAATACGTCTAATTACGTCCATTTTATTCGACATAAGGCAAAATTATTAATCTATATGTTTTAGATAAAATTAAATGAAATGAAACAGTTGTACGTGCATTGATAAAAATATACCTATTTATTAGAAGATTCAATTGTTTGGAAAGTACTTAGCAACACTCTGTTTCCGGATTTTATGTTTTGTAATTCAGATTATTGTGATTACAGTTTTTTTTATCTTGTTGTTCGTATTAATTAATTTTGTGTGATTCTTATGATTTTTTTAATTCTAATATAACAAAATATGATAATATATAATCCAAGTACTCACCGTAAGTGTTTTCTAAAGAATTCTCTGTAACAATGGTTCTAAAATGCAGCTAACGTGAAAATTAAATAATTAATCAATGTTTATCAATTTATTCGTTTTTTTATGTCTTAGGCGAATTTAGGAAAATATTATAATAGGGTCCATCCGACAAATGGCCACTCTTAGGTTTTCTAGCCGTCTCATGATCCTTAGAGGACGACAAAGTAGATTCCGCATTTCGGTCTGTCTGTCATCTGTCTGTGTCGATTTCTATTAGACAGATAATCTCCGAAACTACAGGACCGATTGTTGTAAAATTTTATATATGTTATTTTTATTATTATTATTCAATTCGGAGCTGAAGTCATACAACCTGTTAAGCTCTACAATGTTCCGATGTCTCAAAAAGAATAAAACAAAAAAATTGGTCGAAAGTTGTTTCGACAGAACTTCCCTCGCTCCTGAAATACAATGATAATTTTTTTTGAGTCACCCTGTATATGCAAATCCAAAAAATATGAATGGAATGATAAGTTACAAGTACAGACTCATCATATTTTGTACATTTTAGATAGGATTTATTCGGCAAACTTTTGAGCTGGCGTCATTGATTTTTTGGAGGAGATAAGCAAATATATTTTGACTAAAAATTTATTATGCTCTTTATAACCTTAAAACATCTGCAAGATTTCAACGCATTCGGTTTTGTAGATTCCAAATTAAATGTCAAAATGTTGTTTCCTAATTTTGATTTTTTTCTAAAAATCTGGACGTTTCGGGTAAAATCTCAATTCGGAGTCGGTAAGACTATGTTATTTGATACAATTTAGAACCCAATTACTATGTACAATTTTGAAGTGACGTCATCACATTAGTGGTGGGGATGATTAGACAAATTTTGGTTAGCGTTTTACCATCTACATGATATACCTAATATAATTACAAAATTTGACAACAATCGGCCCAGTACTTTCGGAGATTATCTGCCTAATAAAAATCCGGGACGGCAGACAGACGAACAGACGGACAGACAGACAGACAGACAGACAGACAGACAGACAGACGGACGGACGTACAGACAGACGGAAACGGGAGACCTATTTCTTCGTCCTCTAGGGGTCATGATAGGTCGAGAAAATGCAAAAGTAGAGAGTCGGCCGACGGACTCAATTACAATACTTCCTTTGCTTACACTCGGGAAGTAAAAATAATAAAAACAGAGTAAAGCAATAAACATTTCTGCATAAATAGATACTAGACAGTTACATCTATCTCACTAGAATAATACACAATCATGCAGATGTTTATTCCGACGACAGATTTTTGAAATATTATATGTAACATTGTGTGCTTAAACACTGCCGTAGAGGAAGAATTCACGACATTATCACTTAGCCCATTCCATACATTGAAGATCCTATTCATCAAAAAACTTTTCCGAACTTCTAGGCACTGTTTGGATCGTCACTACACGACTCGGTCCCGGGTGTAGCTCCCAGTGGGGGTTCGTGATATTTTGAAATGGGGGACTGTTATTACTAATTAATAGACGAAATTATGCGACGAAAATAAATACAAAAATACATTCAAAAAAGTAAAAGGAGACACACAAAACAAAACATTTTATTATTTTTTTCACAACCGCACATCCACAAAAACTTACAGTGCTTGTTATGTCTATTAAAATACATATAAAGTCGCGATCTTTTCTATAGAACCACTCCCTAGTGTAAATTTTCAAAATTTGTTTGGTGTAAGTGACCTTGACGGGTTTCTGGGGGAAAACATATGTGTCAAAAATTTGACAGGTTAGATGGCCCTATTGTCAATGTAGATATTTTATTTTAATAAATAGATGAACAGAACATACAGTCTGCATGGGATACAGTGCGGCATAGCTGAGGGCAACCGAAACATTCGTGTTGTACTAATTTCGATTGCCATGTCAACTACCGCTACCAACCGCGTTCGGCGTAAAGTACTAGATGACAGGGCTACCAACTTGACTTTTTATCGAGTGGTTCCGTAGAAATGACCGCTACTGTACATGAAAATCTCTCGTTTTGTCATGAACACTTTTTTTATTAATAAATCGGGGGTGGCTCTCCTTAAATTTTTCACTAAAATTTTACCGTCGAAAAACAGGACGATTTTTGATTAAATATTCAACTGAATTCAGTATTTTTATTTAAAATCAATCAATTTCGTCTAAAAATGAGGCATGATTTAATCTCCGCTTTTATCAGCCCTTCAGCAGCGTCTCATATATCCAAGACACAACATCTTTAGATGTAAGTTTTGATACATTTTATACAAATGGAACGAGATAAAAAAATTAGTTTTGATAATTATGGCACAAAATTCCGGATAATTTTTAAAAAAATTATTATTTCGCTATGTCCAGTGTGTTTGTAGACGTTGTAATTGGGGTGGGGTGGGGGGGGGGGGGGGGGGGGGCTTATGGGGTCATGGTCATGGGCTCCTCAATTCGTCCTAACGGCCACTGCTTTGGCGCAGACTACCACCAGATCCCCCTTTGAAGGCTTCAATGCTGGAATGTTCTTCGACTTGTACCTGGTTTGTAACTGGTACAGGTATGTACTCATTACCACCGTTTCCACACATTCTTGTCTCATCTTCTCCAGAAGCTGGAAGCGGATTAAGCGAATGGCGGAAGGTCCCTTTGGTCTACTCTTAAATGATTTTGTTTGGAGTAATTGTTATAACTCTTGTAGATGCCTGTTACTGCCAACGAAAGTAGTTCCGTTGTCGGAATAAATCTGATTTGGTTTACTCCTACAAGAGATAAACCGTTTTAAGGCTTTCAAAATTGAATTTGATTGAAGTCCCATTTGAACCGCTTTGGTAGCGGAACACACAAAGACAGCGATCTTAATATGTATAAGCAGTCTATTTATATCACGACAGCAGTGTAACATTTTATTGTTCTTACCGTGCTTCCATTTGTTTTATTATTATTGTCAGCCTGATTATGTTTTTTGATATTGTGCATATCGATATAAACGGCTTCGAATAGAACTAGTGTTACCTAATATTAAGCTGTGGCCCTCTCGTAATTCGCTGCAAGTTATACAATTTTATTCAAAAAATATTGGGCACTGTCATTCTATCATTTATTACAAATCATATGTGATTCAAGCTTTACTATCATTTTGACAAATATTAACACTTTTCAAAAATCTATTTTGTCAAACGATGCCTTTGATAATATTAATATCCGATAAATATGACACTACTGTCAGTAAATTAATGTTATCTAAATAAAGCACATTTTACAAGTTATGACATTAGTAAATGACAACTGTCCAATATTTTTTTATTTGAAAACTTGGACCAAAAAGCATATTTTTTAATTGCCCTTTGTTCTATCAGACAACATTTTGGCTTCTCTTCTGGTAAATTAGTGCCTGAGGGGACAATCCACGTTAAGATCTAGGCAGCTCTAATAAAAAAATTGGTCGAACATTATTTCGACAGAACTTCCCTCGGCCATAAAGCACAGTACATCAAATCTAGTTGTTTTGAAAAATGAAAAGATTTGATTTTGGGAATACTATTTTTTAATGACAACTGTAGCGGAGATTCTCAGGGGCTCCGCTAGTACCTTCTCGAAGGCGCCACCGTCATCAACGACGGTACTATCCCACCCGAGCCACCCGAGCCCTATTGGTGCGTCGCTACGCAAGCACCCCCATGCAACTCAACCCTGCCTACATAAGGGTCACTCCGACCACTTTTCAGGCAGATGGAATTTTGAATCTGCAAAACCGAATGCTTTGAAATCTTGCCGATGGTTTACGGATATGATAAGCATGATAAATTTTTAATCAAAATATATTTACTATATATATATTAGGGTGATTCAAAAAAAAAAAATTATTTTTTTTTTCGTGTCAAAGAGGTTCAAAAGTTTCTTTTCAACGTAAAAAAATACCAGTTAAAAGTTGAGCTCTTAATATTAATATTAAGACCGTCCGCATCGCGTTTTTCTATTTCCCATAAGAATAACATGGGAAAATTTTTGTTTGCACCTTCTGATTTTTATTGCTAGCCCGTCGTGTGTCGTGAAAAAAATTCAATCACATATTTTTATAGAGAATTGAACGCTCTACAAAAAGTGTCTCCTATGATTTTGCGAGAAACCTGACTATGATTTTTTAACCCACTGATGCTGAAAATGTTCGGAAAGAGTTTTACTGGCCTTATTATAGCATAAAATTATAAACAATTACTGTTTAAAAAACTAAATTTAAAATGTGTATAACTTTTTGTGGTGATTTATTCCAATAAGACCATCAAATTTATTGTAATGCATCAAAAACGTCAAAATTTGGATAAATTTAATTTTAGCCTAAAATAACTCTTCAACTATCAGGTTTCTCGCACAATCATAGGAGACACTTTTTGTAGAGCGTTCAATTCTCTATAAAAATATGTGATTGAATTTTTTTCACGACACACGACGGGCTAGCAATAAAAATCAGAAGGTGCAAACAAAAATTTTCCCATGTTATTCTTATGGGAAATAGAAAAACGCGATGCGGACGGTCTTAATATTAATATTAAGAGCTCAA